GTCTTTATTATACCAGTAGATACAAGCGCTGGTGTGATTCAAAAGCATGTATATTATATGATGTAGGCCTGTACCCTCAACCTTGTAGGCTACACCAATACTGATGCTTTCAATCAAAACTGAACCCGATTAGCCTACTGTTTTCTTTCCTGGATTTTTTTAGTGTACCACATTGCGCACATTTAGCTTACTCTGGCTAACTTCACATTGCCTGCCAGCACAACACTGTTGCTGGAGTATTTCAAGACTAAAACATCAAATGCAATGCAATGCAAATGCATTTGAATGCATTTTCCTCACTTGTATTAACACTGGAGCAACTTCACTGAGTTTTAGGAGTGTCCTCACTGCTGCGCTTTGAACTACAATATGACAATTTTATTGAGAGCAGAATGCTAAGTTTGCAGCGTTTAGCTTCTTGATTATATTTTTGGAGCTATCCGCTACATGCTGGTTTGCTGGCATGTGTTGTCTGGCGGTGCATTAGAGTGTAACCCTGCATGTCAGGTGATGCAGGTCTATCTGATACCTGGATTGTTGTTCCTGTACCCCCCACGCTTCTTCCTTCCTTCCTTTCTGTCAGCTGTAATGATGAGATGTTTATATTTAATTCATTAAAGACCAAGAGCGTGAAAAACAGTTCATGCAGCTTGCAAGATTAGACCAGGATGCATAAGAAACTGGTGTCCAGTGCATGAAGAGTCTGCACTCACTAGCTTTTAGAGAATCATAGTGAGCCTCCAGCATTTTTCCCACTGTCATCACAGTGTGTTTCGTTGGGTTTGGGCTGATTAGAGAGGCTTAGGCACCTGGCAGACAGCCCCCTCAGAGCCAGGGAAAATGTCTCTGCACAGCTATCTGCCTGCTGGTGCAAAACGAGAGAGAAAGGCAAGTTAGGGCAGGGACATAAGGTGTGTGTGTGGTATTTACCTCTGTTTGATTCCCATGAGACAGTTAAAAGAAGAGTCACATCAGGTAGACTGCTATCTCAAGCAGGGGACTCAAACGATGGCTCTTTACAATCCATGTTTACACTTTAAAGGTGAGCAACTTGTCTATCCTAGTACGTACCCTCTGCATTTCAGAGATATTAACTCTCACTTCACACATTTTGCGTTCATCACTATTAATGTTGTCTGTCCTCAGTCTTTCATAGAGTTTTGAAACAGGGAACTTGGCATCAGACAGTTGTAGTTACCTACAAGAACAATATATTTTTTTCAGACAGTTGGAGATTTAGCAACCAGGAAGAAAGTTTTCCTTCATTCTTACTCCTGGCTGTGGGTCAATATCAGGTGTGAAGATAAATCAGACAGCTGCTGTTTATGTTGACAAGTTATTGAGTGTATTTATTGATTTTAAACCACAGTTTACTTAAGGTTGAATGTGAGGAGAAAGCCATATTTTGTGCTCTTATTTTTAAGATTGTGAATGAAACTGGAATTCTAAAATAAAATCAAAAATTTGGAAGAAATTAATGAAAGAGAAAGCTAAATCAATTCACCCATTAGTGCTCCGAAAACAAAATATTCATGACTAAAAAGTATTTCCATGGTTGCATTTGATAAACACTTTTCATTGCCGTCTGTGTCACTTGTTTACTCCAGTACACGATTATGTAACATGTCTTTAAAATCTGAAATCAGTCAGAAAATCCATATTTTACTGAGCAGTGTTGTCAACAGATGTTTGCTTATTTAATATGTTCTTACTTTTAATCTGCCATTATTTACATTTCATAAACTGTAATCATGAAACCCTCTTGAGCTGATTTATTTAACACTTTGTTTTTCCGCACGGGAGGCTCAGTAACTTGTATTAACTGGTGACGCAGTATCACAGATTTAGTTTGTTTATCCCCATCCATGATGTAAACAACAGGTCTGACTTCATGCATAATCACTAGAAGGCCCAATAATACCAGCAGCTTCCCCACAATCCACCAGTGACAGATGGTGTCTTTAATATGTCAGTGATTAATATGGACACAATTACAATGTGATCACAGGAGCCCCTGATTAACGTGCAGACATGTCCCACCCATCACTCCAACTACAGGCCTCTCCAGTTGAGTGTGTGCTGTCATGGTAACAAGATATGTGTTGTCCTAGACTGACTCTGCCCTATACTCGCACAGCAACTTTGTGTTTACATCTATCCCTGGAGGCTTCTGCTAAAGCAGGTTCAAAAAATTATAATAATCATGTTCAGAATATTATAATATCTATATATAAGATATATATAATATCTTTTTCCACTTATCAACGCATTTAATTTATTTTCTTTCTGTCTGAACTTCTTTTGCTCCACCACTCGGGAGGATCACGACCATGGGAATGTTTTCCATTTGTTCAGATGGCATACCATGTCATGTCAGCTTAGCACACCAGGAAGTGAACAAACCCATTACTGGCAGATTAGTTTGAGGAGGCCCAAATAGAAAAATAGATCAAGAAATAGTCTGTTGTGAAGCTCTATGACAAAACTTATCCGAAGAAAACGCAGCTCTAGATTAAAAGAAAAAGGTTAAAAGATCTCTCATCATTGTCTTAATTCTTATTTAATCTAATTTAGGTCTTTTGGAAACAACAGGGAACATTTTTCACATGTGTGACCATGTGCTGTAGATCTGCAGGCCTACTTTGAAACATGTTTTTAATCTTGTTTTTGAGGAGTTAGATTCACTCACTCCCCCTTGTGGCAAAACAATTAAATTATATTCTTTATAATTTAGCCTGCAGAGGTACCTAAATGTGGCCTCTTACTAGAGTCCTTTAGGGAAAATTCTGTGAAATCCAAAAAAAAAGCAGTGGTATTTATTAAGAGCCAAAATAAGTGACACAAACGCACCTCAAATTCCCTAACAACAGCTTTCCCTTCCCTTTAATGTTTACAGATGATCTCAGTTTGATCTGTGCCCGCACTGACCAATCAGGGGCAAGCTTCCCTGCAAATGGGGAGCAACAGTGGGATGCTGGGTATCCATAAGAGTGGGGGGATATATACAGTACAGAGGGATGTCAGGAATTAGGCTGCTGTGGATTAGTGTGTGAGCTCTGATCGTCTATTGGCTGCAGAGACCCTCGCTGCTCCGCATGGACCTCAACTGGCAACAACAACTTCAGCAAAAACAAGCAAGATTACCATTCTGACATGATCCGTCCAGGATGTTTTTTGAAATGACAGAAAGTGGACTGCTACTTTAGATCTTTTTCTCATTTATTTACCTTGGGAAGGCATCGTTTTTTGGATTCAATTCCAAGTTTTACCAGAGACCATGGTTTTACTTTTAACTAATAACTCCAGAAATAATAATTTCGACTGCTTTCCGAGAGTCTTCAAGAGGAAAGGTGAGTAAAAGCAGCACCAGCCGATTGTTTGAAGTTATGAGACTACAGACTTTATTGGTTTATGACTGGAACAGAGATTGTTTGAACTGCTACTCAAGTATGACCAGTAAAAGCAAGATCAACTGGCTCGCTTCAGACATGCAATAAAGTAGTAAAGATATGATTTAGACCTATCAAACAAATTTGTATTGTTTACATTCCTACAATGTAACATGCTGGAATTTACAGTCTGGCCTAATCGACTCTGTTTGCTTTAAATTGCAGACAAAAGAAAATAATGATTTTTCATATTATGCATCTTTTTTTTTCTCTCCCTCCAGTACATCCTCCTGTAATGCTGTTACAAAAGAGACAGTAGTAACAATTAGCAGCGATCACCGAGCACATAACTGTCCAGGCTAATTCCAGCATGGCCTTATAGTGACAGTACAGACAGTGGGGTATAGAAGGAGGCTAAATGTGGAGCAGCTGTCACCATTACATAAACGTGTCTTAGCAGGTTGTTAGACATGAGATTCCCCAGACTATGGCCTCAAAGTGTGAGGACAACAATGGAGCACAGAACTGAATCACACGCCAGCAAATGCAAAACTTGCAAGAACCTTCGTCTTAGTTTTATCAAGTGTCATACCCATAAAGAGCTTATTCAAATTGTTGGAGTTTTTATATGACATCATGCTGTTTGTATCTCAAAGAAACTTGTCACTTTTTGTATATGGCCCATGATCCATATGTACAGTCTTTGATTAGTTAATGTGGTAGTTAATTATAGATTTAAAAAACAGCAAAACAGGAGCACACTCGACAATGAATAAAGTTCCAGGTGCACGGCCGCAGAAATTCTTAAACAGAGACAAAAAAGTCTGCACACTAAATGTCCTTCTAGTAACTTTTTATCCGGGCAAGAGCAGCGTACAAAACAACAGCGGACGCGTTTCAGCACAGGGCCTTCATCAGCGTACTTACAGATTAAACCAGCAACACTTGAATGAGTGTCCCTCTCACTGTCAAATGTCATTATAATTAGGCTTTAAGACTAACACTGGTAGGCACGCAGCAGAGCAGATTACTTAACAGCAATCACTTATTACATCCCAAAAAAAAACACAAAAGAAAAAAACTAAAAGAGGATATTTTTAACATATTTTGTAATTATAGTCTTATTTTGTTATTTTCTTTTTCTCTTTGGATTTACTACTTTGGATTTTAAAGTCTTGTTCATTCTTAATATGTTGTTTTTTAATGCTCTCTGCTCTAAATGTTCATAATGTTCTGTGTTTAACTGTTACGCACTTTGAATGGCTCTATGTATAAATGGTGCTTTATAAATTAACTTGCCTGGCCTTGCCGTGGCTGGAAGAAAAGGCATTAATACTAACCATATGTTGCCAACAGTAGACTTTTGGCACGATAATCCCGTTTTAAAAGTCATTGTCACAGTCACTGGAGTTTAATCCTACATGAGTTGAACTCTTCACCTGTTTAATTCACACTCTCCTGTCTTAACCCTCAAACATATTTACTACTGTGTGCTTAAAAGGTCTGTAACAGACACCTCTGCTCCATATGGACCCCTTATCTACTGTTACACTAACACACAGCTTTGAGTTGATCCAGACTGATCCCCTTCTTCCCTCTCTCTACCTCCAGCTGTCCAGAAGCGAGACCATGACAGCAGGACCCCTTCCACCCCGCTGTTCCAGGAGAACGTGTTTATCGAGGCTAGCAGGCCCGAGTACCTGGAGAACCTCCACAGTGAGGCCCTGGAGGGGTTAAAAATGATGCAGGAGGAAGGTACTAAACACTGTAGAGATGCAGGGTGACATCTGTGTGCTAAATTAGAGGTGCCACATGCCAGCATGTTGATAAATGTCTGCATGTTACTCAGGAGGGTGTGCACTAGATCAGGGGTTCCCAAACTTTTCAGCTTGCGACCCCCATTATGACGGTGATAGGTACTTGGGATCCCACATTTGACGCATTAGAATAGAATTACTTAATTGATCCCAAACTGGGAAATTGTTGCGTTACAGCAGCAGGTTGTGCAAACACACAATATGAGCAAAAATCACAATATTAGCAAATAGTATAATAATAATAGTATAATAATAGCAAATAATATAAATATTAGCAATTAGCACTAGGTCAAAACACTGGCATTAGAACAGCAAACAATAGCCCAAACACCATCATATTATTCTTGTAATTTATTGTAAGAAAGTACTTTTTTTACTTACTGTATTTTCAAATTAATGGGTGAAATCTAAAAAATGTTTAAACCATTTTCCATATTTATGTTTTTGGAAGGAATCTCACGACCCCCCTAACAGTGTTCCGCGACCCCCCCAGTGGGTTCCAACCCCCGCTTTGGGAACCACTGCACTAGATTATATACACACCACAACTACGTTTAATTGCAATGATAACTTATAACTGCAGAGTTAAACGTTACTCTCCTTGCAGAAACCAATAACGGAGTGGAGTATCGGGACAATGAAAGCACTATTGTAAGTTGCACATCACACCCAGAGGGGCTGTTTTTTCTTACACATACTGCAAATGCACGTGTCCCATACAAGTGAGTTGTTTCCCCAAAATAATGATGTTTCTCCTTCTTCCAGTCGCACACAGACGGGGAAGGTGGAGGGTTTATGACTGACAGCACCATCGGTGACACAACTTCTGTCGTCTCTGTAAAATCATCTGTGTCCACAAGATCGTCCCGCTCTGGACTCACCAGGCAAGGTAACTCGCCTGTTAATCCTACTGTGCTACCATGTCATTTTATAGTAAGATATATTATACAACCAGTGTACTCTATTGTCAAGCACTTCTTTTAAATGTTTGAATATCATTTTAAAGAGTATAGAGTATAAATGTGTATTGTGTAAAGATACTGTTTGTATAAGTATAAAAGGATGTTTTTTACTTATGTGCAAATCTGCTTAGAATCAACATTCAGACCCCTGAACTCCGGAAAAAAGTCCAAGACGAGGAGAAGACACAGAAAGACTGTTGCGGGAATCCCCCAGCATGTTCAGAGAGAACTTGGTATGGAGCTCATCATTTCGTTTTATTGCTACAATACAATTAGAAAGATTAAAGTTTAAAATATGATTATTTGTTAAAAACAAAGGATATTTTTTTTTAACATGTCAGTTACTAATGAGTCCTCCTGTGGTTTCTTAGGCCTGGACAGAGTGGGTTGGACCATGACTCAGAAAGCACATGAGGAAAATCTTTATGACGGTGAAACAGACGAAAGCTCAACCACTGATGGTCTGCAGCAGGCAACACAGTCGCAAACTGGGACCAGTGCTGCTATCCATCCCCTCAACAAAAAACAACTGGAGCAGCTCGCTGCCACCAATGCTGGTCACAGGGACGACCTGGCCCTGCTGAACCGCTTGGACCCCGGCCTGTCAGCAGAGCAGAGGCATCACTCCTTGGCCGTCCACTGGATGACCACAGCCAACAACCTCCAGCAGGAGCCGCCCAGCCCCGTCATGTCCATGTCCCCTCAGGCCATGTACATGTCCAAAATCATCCCCAATGCTGTCCTGCCCCCCTCCATTGACGTGGTGGAAATCAGCCGAGGGCGGAGTCGCAACAGCGTCCGCACCGTCAGCAAGAGCAGCCTGGTGATGTCGAGCCCTGCCCCCTCACGGGCTTCCTCTAGAGCCTCCTCCACAAGAACCACTTCCTCCAAAGCCTCCACCATCACCTCTGCCTCCCGCCAAAACCTTCCAAATATGTCCGACAGCTCTGGTTGGAGCAACTCTGAGTCCTCTGAGACCCTGGTATCTGACTCCTCCACCATCTCGAGCAGCAGCACCCCCCGACAGAATAGGTCTCAGGACGGCAATGTGTCCGCCAAAGAGGACAATATCAGTGTCCACTCATCCATCAGCAAAGCTTCAAAAAGCACCTCCAACGGCAAGCTCGTTAGTAAGCGAGTGGTGGAAAATAAAGAGGGGCCATTTGTGCGTAGCCTCTCTGTCATGAAGCCAAAGAGGGCACCCCTGCCTCCAAACCGCTCGTATTCCCTCCACAATAAGATGAAGAGACGTTCACGGGATGTGGCAGAGGTGAGGGTCATTCCAGGGGAGGAAAATGAAAAGAACAAATCAGGATCTTCTCCTATACCCTCCAAAATCATAGACAGTCCTGGATACACTGCTGACACCAGTTCTCTGGAGGATTCTACAGGTTCTGTGTCATTCAGTCCCATCAGAACCCAGCTGAACATGCTAAAGGCAGGGGAAGCTGCAAAAGTTGGCCAAACAGATTCCAAAGATGCTTCACAAGAAAAGAATAAACAAAGCACAGTAGTCTCCCCGTCTAGTGGCTACTCCAGCCAAGAGGGCACATCAGCAGTGTCTTCAAAACAGTCCCACAGCTCATCTCCGAGGCACAAAAGAGGTCTCTTAGCAAAGCTTCAAAGGTTTTTTCCTGGCCCCACCACTTCCCCTTCAACCCCACCCCCTACTGAAAACATAAAACCAGGAGAAAATCTTAAACCTGACACCTCAGTTGATACTGCGAGTCCTTCTGTTAGAGCTCTTAGAGAGCTCTTCAATATCCCTCCACATCCTAAAGTCCACGCACCCCCACCCCCGCCTCCAGAGGTGTGGGTTCACAGCAGGCGTTCCATCGAGTTGCTGCTAGGACCCCCGCTGCCTGATAACATTTACGCCATCATAAAGAAGAATCCAAAGGACAGGAGGCAACACAGGCAGTCTCCTTCTGCGTCCACAGAGAGCTCCGTGAAACTGGAAAGAAAACACAAGACAGCGACAGCGGAGGCCGTTAATGGATCCACACATGTGATGGAGGTAAAGAAGGTTCAAGAAAGTAGGATTTTGAATGCAGAGGTTCACAAAGAGAACAACGACAGACTGGTTGAGCAGAACGTAGATTTGAAAGTGACAAAAAGAGATGAGAAAGTAAGCGGAAGTGACATTTTAAGCGGAATGCTAGTGAAAGCGGTAGTGAAACGAGAAGAAAGACTTGCAGCAGCCAGAGAAGAAGCAGCTAAAAAGAGCTGTACCAATGTGACATCTCCTGAGTCGTCGTGGCCTCCGCCACCTCCACCAATTGGACAAGTGGTCATTACTGATGAGATGGATTTCTCTCTTCCGCCTCCACCCATGTTTGGTGGGGGGTTAATCTTTCCTGTCCAGGTGCCACCAGAAAGCTCTAATCCTGGTGTGGACTCATATTCTACCCCTACACCCCTAAATATCCCACCTCCCCCATCATATACAGCACCCGCTCCACCAGTGGAAGCCGTGACCCCTGCTACGCTAAGGAGGCTCACTCCGCTGCCTCCAATTGAAGAGGTTCCTTTTACGCCACCACCTGAAGAGGTTTCTCCACCCGAACTCCCGATAGAGGCTTCTCCGCCTCTACCAACTCCACTTAATGAGGTCCGTCCTCCTCCTGCACTCATAGATGTTTCTCCTCCTCAACCACCTATAGCGTTTTCTCTTCTGCCACCACCAACTAAAGAAGTTATCCCTTCTCCGCCACCACCTACAGAATTTATTCCACCCCCACCCCCTAAAGATGTTTTTCCTCTGCCACCACCTATAGAAGTGATTCAACTTCAACCCCCCAAAGAGACTTCTCCAGTGCCCCCACCTAAAGAGTTTATCCCACCCCCACCACCTATAGAAGTAATTCAAACCCCACCACCTGAAGAGGCTTCTCCTCCGGCCCCTCCTCAACCTCTTAAAGACATCTCCACCACACTTGTTACAGTGGTTTCTCCTCCACCAGTGCAAGAGCCCCCACCTCCACCAGTTATCGAGGTTGCCCCTCTTCCTCCTAAAGAGATCTCCACTCTGTCTACTGAAGAGGTTTCTCTTCCCTCTTCAGAAGAAGCTACACCTGTTAGCACGCTCGCTCCGCCACAGAGTATTCCACCTCCACCACCCCTCCCGTCACAACCCCAGCAGGAGACTGATCCATCCCGAGAAAACATCCCGTCAGAACCTGACTCTACCACAGTTACATCGATCAGTATTCTTGCTCCTCCTCAGAGTATTCCACCTCCACCTCTCATACAGCCTCAACCTGACAAAGTTCACCTGAACACTGATCGCCCAGCACCACAGGAGACCCCCCCTCCACCTACACCTCAAGCCTCACCTCCGGCTCCTGAAAAGGCTCAAGAACCTGCTCCCCCTGCACCTGCAAACATTCCTTTACCTCCACCTTTACCAAGTGCAGAGCCCCAAGTGATTCCTGCTAGCAAAGAGAAGCAAACTCCAGAGCAAACCTCCACCCCTGTCATGCCGGTGGAACCCACACCCATTGTCACCCCATCCCTCCTGCAGATGGTGAAGCTGCGGTCTGTTAACAGCAGCCCTGAGCCTCCTAAAGCCCCTGAGCAACCGCAGGCCGAGGTCACAATGAGGAATCAGGTCCAAACCTCCTCTTCTAGCGGTGAAGCTCCTCAGAAGCCAATCAGAAGGTCCCTGATCATCCTCTCACCCACATCTCCCACATCCACCTCTCCACCTGCCGTAGTGACTTCACAACCTGCTGTGCCAATTCCACAGTCTCTGCTGGTTCCACCCACATCTTCATCCACAGTCACGTCCCCTACCAAAAAGTCTCCCCCTGCCATGACTGCATCTCCCTCCATGAACCTGCAGGAGGCCATTCGCCTCAGGACAGCAGCCAGGTCCAAGGAAAACGCCCCCTCTCGCCTCAGCCTGCATTCACCTACATCGCCCAGAGACCTCCATAAGTCACCGTCCAGTACGGCCAGCTTTATCTTCTCTAAGAGCAACAAGAGGGTGGTGATTGAGACCAAACCAGTGGAGGAGAAGAAGAGCTTGGATGTTCCCTCTGTAACAAAGGTGGAGACAGATGCAGAGTCAGAGAAGAAGGGAGGCAAGGTGCCACCGCCTGTTGCAAAGAAACCCAAAACAAAAGGCAAAGAGACAGAGACATGTGAAGGGGTGGAGCAAACTGCAGGACAGGATGCACATCAAGAGCTTATCAAAGGTAAGACCAGTTTTCTACTTAAATGAAACGCATCATTCTATAAATTTTTAGGTATGGGCATATTGATCGGCTGAGTATCAGTATATATTATTTGCCCTGTTGAGAGATTTTGGCCTATCAGCAAATGATTTGGCCTTCACTTCTTCATTGCAGTGACTGATAATATATATATTTTGCCTCGTATCAGTTACAGGATAGCTATAAGCCCCATTCACACATGTAACAAATTTCACAATAGGTTGCATGTATGAACGCAAACAGCCAATTTTTTTCACCCCCACTTTTTGAAAAAAGTTTTACAACTAATCCCCTCGTCAAATTTCTACAAGAAGTTGTGTCCGCGAATGTATGAACAAAGCATGTACTTTAGAAAACTCCCCAAAAGTGAGCGAGCAGCGGTGATGACGTTCATATCCTGTGATCACAGTGCAACTGGTTAGATCTTTGTGGGAATAAAAAAAGCTGCTACTTATTCTATTTTACTTGCCAATGTGTTTGTTTCCACTCATGTTTTTTTAAAATACTTTTTGATTAAAAATACTATTACATTTAGCTTTGATATAAAGGCAAAAACTGTGATCACAGCATCAGACTCTGTTGCGTCGTCTGCATACTTAAATACACAATCATTTGAGTAAACAAATACTAGATCATCCTAATTTAATTATTGTCGCCTCTATTCCCCATCCTAAGGTGCTGCAGATGAAGCCAATGAAACAGCAGGTACTGTTGAAGGAGGAACGATGACTTCCACATGATTAAAAAAACCGAGGGAGGACTTGGAAGGACTCGAGCTTTACACTGAATTTGCCGCTACTTGGTGTGTTTGGGAATAGAAACCGGATCTGAGTATATGAGACGATTATTTCTGAGATTGTGTTTGACAAAGTTCTGGATTGAAAAAAAAAATCCTTTGATTTTCATGTTAATGGTTTGGGTGATAATTTTGTCAAGTTCTCATTCTGTACTTTATGAAGAGTAAATACAGTCTATTTTCTTTGACCAGAGGGTCTGCAGAGCTTTGGAGTTGCATGAGATGTGATTATACTGCCCTCTAGTGTCAAACAATGGTTACACTTCTGTCCTGCTGAATCAGAGTGTTTAGTCGGTAATCTTACAATGGGACTTTTGGGTGCTCATTTGTAAATATAGATTTTGTACATTTAACATATTCAGTAATGGTGGATCTCTGCTGCAGAGTCCTTTTCTCTATTTTCCCGAAAAATCTTCCACGTCAATTATGTATGTTGAAAAATATTAATTATCTTAAGTTATTTCCTCTTCATGTTCAGAGGGTCTCTGCTGACAGAAAGTCTTATTTACTATGTTATATTAAACCCTGATATCATTTAAAGAAAATGGAATTGTTAAGCTCTTAATCATATCGTTATATATACATACATTGTTTTGCTCAAAAAAATCCCACTTAATTTGTCATGATTCAAATCAAGGTTTATGACTAAAGGTCACAGAAATAATGGAGACATGAAAGTAATCCAAGAATCATATTTTGGTGCACATATTTTTGCTGCTTTTAGTTACTGATAATGGAGGCAATGCCTCCTTTATCATAGTTACAGCTAAAACAGTGGGATATTTCTGTTTTTGAAACTTGTTTCAGAGAATCATTAAAAGAATAAAAACTTATGAATGGATCAAATAGTCGTATTCTTTTTCTCCTTAAATCTGATAATTTGCATATTCCTATGACATCATCTTCTCATCTTGAGGCTCAAGTCTGAATCATAAAAACACAAGTATGAAGGCTTAGACCAAATGTCCTTTCCAATGTTTTGATGGTTTTAAATGACATCAGCTATCTTATTAGCATGGCAGAATTGGTGCACGACAACCACTTATGATTATGCATCCTGAAGATCACAAAAAACTTTTTGCTTTTCATGTGTTTATTCAAACATCTTTTGTTAGAGAGTTACAACAGATTCAAAGCAGAAAAACCTACTAAATTAAATAAACTAACACTACCATGAAAAATACCAGGTCTGCTCTCCATCATCTGCTAAGCCATCTTCCGTTTTCCACTGCACCTCAGAGACTACCATCCTGTCCTCGTCATCTCTACCTGGATACATGTTTCCCTCCTCATCCTCCTGCGGCTGCTGTAACTCTCTCTGTACGCTCACCTCTGTTGATAACGTTTGCTCCAACTCCACCCAATGACGCAACACCTCAGCTTCTTTCTCATGTTGATGGATCACCTGCTGTACGGCAGACATCTCATCTTCTCTTCCTTCCTCACTCTCTGAGTAATCCTCTTGTTCCAAATGCCCTGATCCTTCATCTTCAATTAAGATGAAATAGTTCCCTGCAGAGTCTTTCTCCTCCTCTTCTAAGACCTCTCTCAAACCCAACTCTTCTAAATCAGGTTCTGTCAACTCTCCATCTTCATCTGTGTAGACTCGATCTTCTTCATCATCATCATCATACTTCACTACATCCAGACTCTCCAACAGGTCCTTGTAACGGTTCAGCTCATCGATGTAATGACTGATTATGGCCTCGCCGCCTCTGCTGATGGAGGAGGTTCTGACTGGTAGAAAATCATCCTGATCTGAGACCAGCAAGGAGTCAATGCTGACTGAGCCTACAACAAAAGTCAAGATATAGGGGGACATTGACATACTAATTTGGCCTCAACAGCAAGTTCATTAGTTTCAAACTATATCAGGATAAGAGAATAATTCTGGATTCATCAAATTAAAACATGAAAAAGACCTAAACATAGAAAATCACAGCAGGATTGGTGTTCATTCATCCACACTTTGGCTGGAAAACATTGGTTAGTTTGTCTTTGTAATGCAGCATATTAAATGTCAAAAGTCTCATTCAGATCAACTTTTGGGAACACTACAGACACATGGACAATAATCGCTCACATATTTTCTGGACATGTCAAAAAATTCCAACTTTCAGTGTGAATTTATGCTGTATTGAGCTCAGTGTTATAAAATTCCTGATTACATACGACCTGAGTATCTTTGTTTAATGAGAAACGATGCAATGAAATAGACTTGTTTATGATTAATATATATCATCTATCATCCAGGTCTACACTCCCTCCAGCTCACTACTTTTGATCCAACCTTCACAACAGAGCCTTAAGTCTCTCACTAGATTCTTCTCTTCTGTTGCCCCCTAGTGGTGGAACGAACTACCAAACTTCATTCGATCTGCAAAGTCCCTTTGCACCTTGCTGATGACCCAGCTATTTAATGAATACCTACACACTTAATGATATTGATCATGACATTATTTAGGATGGTTTTAAGCTGATTAGAACTCTCCAGAACAGCTGTCGATTGTGTGCTTTGCCTCTGCACTGCCTGTCAGCATCTGTGTCCTACAGACTTAAAGCTGTTCATTCGCACTTCCTGACTTTGTCTCCTCTTTCTAGATCCTTGCTCGTGTTGTACTTACTTTCTGATATATGTCGCTTTGGATAAAAGTGTCTGCTTAGTGAATTGTTTAGAAAATACAATTTACTAACTGCAAAAAATAAATTACAAGGAAGTGAAATAAACCTGAGCCTTCCAACCTCAGCCAGTGGATGGAAATAGTTTGTAATTATCCATATAAAATATTTTTTTTAAAGTTGGGTAACATCTTATATCAAGGCTAAAAAAAATGTTTTAAAAAACGTTTTTAACGTACCTTCCATCGTGGCCCTGATGGGTTCAGATGTCCCACATTGTGAATCACAACATTCACATATGAAGTTGTCACCAGTCAAGGCCTTCCACCTGTCATCGGAATTGTTAAACATATGCTTGAACTATTTGGAAACCAGCAAAGGTCAAATTCAGTCCTCAAAATGCAATTCAAGGCTCACCTCTCCTCTTTGTAGGTGCAGGATTTGTGAGTAGGACTCGGGTCTTCAGATGTAACAAACAGTTTGCAGTGAATGTTGACCTAAAAAGAGAAAAATGGTTTAGTCTACTGTTTAAAGCATGTGAATCCAGAGTCATACTTCACACTCACCCCTGCATTGGGGTCAGAGGTGAACTGGAAAGCCTTCAGGGAGAACCTCAAGGTCTTGTCAGTCCGAGAGATGAATTGGGAAGCTCCTGGGGCTCTCCAGCTGTCCATCATACAGCTGTCAGGACAACAATTAGACACTGGTCTCAGTTGACTTCAAATTAGGTCACTATCGAGACTTTCAATGTTTTACCGTCCATAAAACTCACCCAAAATTGTCAATGATGGTGTATTTGAGGGGTGATTTGAAACCACTTGCTGGTGTAGCAAAGCAGCTACTGATGTACAGTTTCCAGTTAGTTGGGAGATTTGGAGCAGAGACCTGGAAATTAACTGCTTTTCCGAGCTGGTACACCTGTGACTTTGAAGGTCTGCTCCATGAATCTAACAGTTCATTAAAAAGATGTATCAAAATAAGTCAATGAGAACATACATGCAATGCAACTCTTATTCAATACAACCCACAGTTCCTTGAACGTACCATCCATCAGCTCCATCTGAAAGTCATTTGAACTTCCTATCAGCCTCTTACGCACGACAGCACTTTCCCAAGTGGGCTTCACGGTTAGCTGGTAAACATGGAGGTTTCTGAACAAGGTTCGGAGGTAGTGAAAAAAAACACACGCAAAAAAAACAAGGTTGAAATAGCGAGGAGACACGTAAACGTCAAACCTTTGATAACGGCATTTAATGTTGACATCTATCCGGTGCGCTCTGCTTGGGAAACGTTTTGGTGAAGGCTCATAGTGGAGGACGAATTTGTAGACCAGATAACCAGGGGTCAACTGTGAGCAAGGGTCAGAAGTTGAGAATTTTATATTATGCAGGGAATCTGTTGAACAAATACACTCATGGAAAGCTTACCTGACGCATGGCATCACACGCTGTCAGAGGATACGTGAATAGCAGGTCACCGTACGGTCTGAGAACTCCGTTGCTTTTACATGAGCTTCCAAGTTTCAGCTCACTAGCCTCTGCGCCCAGACCGTAGAACGCCGGATTGACCCGCACGAGAACGTCAGACGTGGAGCAGGTTACAGAAACGTCTGGAAGGTAGGCAAATTCCGACCGGACCTTTGCCTGGAGCTCCCTGGGGCGCATGGATCGAGGTTTTGCAGGCGCTAGAGGCCAGTCGGGCCTTTGGGAGCTCAGTTGGGACAAAGGAACCGTGCTGGAAGACGACCTGTGCAAAGATTTCCTACCGCCTGTTGTTGTCACCCTGACTGGTTTTGACTTTGGCTTGCCCAGTTTTAAAACCTCTTTTCCTTTCCTTAATTGAAATTGAGAAGTGCCTACTGCACATGTAAAGAGACCAAGTGATAGAATACTCCACAAAATGTAGTGACGCCACTTTGTTTTCATCGCAACAGACCGTTGTGCTTCTACCTTTCTCTTTTAATCTGCGCGTAAAAGCAGCGCTTGGGCACGGCTGCAGGTAATTAGTGGAGAGGCTCAAATCAACAGCCTGCTGTCAAGTTACAAGTTACACTTTGGTTCTGGTTAATCCAGTCAATGACAGCACACAGCGGCAGTGTATGTTTGTATTCTTTTCATTTTCACGATATTCCTTTTCACACTAATTTGGTTGAGGGGTCAGCGGTCAGGTCAAACCAGGGGCCAGTTGGTGCAGTGGAAACACAGGCCTTTATGTAGTTAATGTTTGATTTTGTTCGACTTTATTAAAATGTTTTCTTCTTTATTGGGATGATCATGACTTCTGATATATCAATGTTGATATCTTCTGCCATGAGAAATGTGCACCTACTTACTATCTGAATTTAATTTGGCAAGTAAACTCATCAAGAGGTGCCTACATGTGGGGAGGAATATTGGGTATTGCAATGACATCACACAGGTTGTATCTGTTTTGACAAACTTTATTTACAAACTTAAAATTACAAATGTACAACACATGAGTTTCTCTTAACTGATTTTTAAACTGTACTGCTTATGAAGGGCCAACTTAGAAAATAATCATATTTACATATTATACACATAGCAGCATATAAACACTAGGAGCGTGTGCAATGTGCATCATTCAGACCAGTAAGTGCAACTTCAACAGCCCTCAGAATATATTACGTTTTTTCATAACTTAACCGTAAGGATATACGATCAAACCTTCAAGTGAGGACAAATGTATCCAGCGTACTTTACACCAGAATCAACTTTGTTTGGCATGCTGATTCTGAGAGTCATGAAGGCAGCTGGTTTTTCACATCGCAGCAGATTATCATATCTCCTTTTCTTAGGCTGTTTAATCAACAACCAGCCACCGTCACTGCATTATTATATACATGTGCTTTTATCAGAAACATATCATCCCTTAAATAGTTTATTTAAATAAATAGTTAAATAAAGCATTTTTCTTCCCTTGGGAAGTGAGAATGTGCTCGGTGAAGAGACCTCATACTGAATTTGATTTTGAAAGCACATTCAGAAATGTCTTTAAACATCATAGAGAGTGACTGAAATACTCAAGCACACAAAAGTGTGATTGGAAACCTGTCTCTGTGGCAAAAATAAAAATAACCCAGAAAATCTGAGAGAATCTTGACGCAACTATTTACAAACGATATGTTTGTGTAACTCAGCCTACATACAGTACATCGTACAACCTTCAGAAGATTCAAGTTAACTTCAAGTTATTTCCTTCATAAAGTGATCTTCAGGAAAAATCACACCAAAGGAAGAGTAGAAATTGTAGCACAGCCCTATACAGCTTCAATTTTAGTGCTGGTATGCCCTATATAATCAAGGGCTGACATTTTTCAGCATGTAAACATCAGAGGTAACGCCACACTGCAGTTTGCACAAGTGAAGGTCTGATCTCATAAACTGGCCTTCTTAAACAATACCACAAATCACAATCTGTGCCCCAATTCTAGCAAAGTGTTCAGTTTAGTGCATTCACACTACAAGTAATGTATGAGTACTAGTGTCCCACAATGCAAAGCACAAAAACAATAACGGAGGCACTAGCAACCAGTCAAGTAAATATTATACTAGACGGCTACATGAACATCTCTGTAAACAATACACCTTTGAAAAAAATCCTTCAACATAAGAATGACCACCCCCCTATGAGTCTTAGTTGTACACTTAGGACGAGGTGTTGAACACAAACCTGCCTTATCCTCATCTGAATGAGAAAGTGATCAGGTTAAACTGACTAGTCTAGTGGTTAGACCCATTTCGGTTAGAATAAGAACCGATCCAAGTGCTGTGCTTTATTTAAAACCTGTTTAAATGTAGAAGAACAGACGCCTGCCTTTCATTTTGGCTTTTTTTAAGTTTTTGTAGATGCAGTTAAATTGGGACACAGCTGAGGTAAAGGCCAAAAGAAAATACTGAATCACACACGTAGTGACACTGGTAGGCCACTAGAGGGCAATGTAAACCTGTGTGATCCGATGCAGGAATCCAGTCTACGCTGGTGCAGTTGGAGCAGCGGTGCTGGTCTGTGCTCCCTCTTCTGTTAGTCCAGATACTTGGTGGTGGTTTGTCCCTCAACAGTCTGTGCAAACACATGAAGCATCTAGGGCAGTTGACTCGTGCTCCCTGCTAAACGTTGCTTCCCAGGGCTAAAGTTTCAGACTCTGAATCCGCTTCCAAGTCCCTGTGAGAGGATGGGAGAAGAGCCAGGAGTCAGACACAAAGGACTTGGCTTGCCCAGACAGGGTTAAAAAAAAAAGTGTGCCAACACTGGGGCAAAACAGTTTTTTAAGGTTTCATCTGAATTTACCTCAGGTGTAGAAAAGGAAACTGAATTAACACCAAAGTGTTTTCATTCTTGGACAAAAAAAAAGTGGCTACATGAAGAGCTTTTCTGTACATTTTACTTACAGCATTTCCTGCAGTAGTTTTTGGTTGCCCTGCCTTCTCTCCTCATCGATCGGGTATGTTTTAAGTATCAACAGTCCCAGGATAATAAGAACCACAGGCACCGGAGAGACCAGCACCTTCAGGGTTAAACTGACCGCCTCAGGTTGTGTGCAGCTCCCGGTCACATAGCCTGCAAATCTGTGAAAAAATGCAGAGAAAGAGGGAGAAAAGTTGAGCTGATGAGTGCACAGTTAGAGGAACAACATGTGAGTGTAGACCACCTGACTGTTACACTGATGAGCGGTAATGTGGAGCTTATCTCGGATAGTGTTAAAGATTAAGGGCGTGCAGACATAAACTTGATCTGCAAAGCTTTTTAGGATTGCATTTTAGAGTCATAGAAGAACAATTTATGAAAAAGTGGCTCAAGATATTTCAACAATGGATTTGTCAACTTACTTTAAGCTGAGTGTAGATACACCCAGAGATACTCCTGAGGCAAACTTGATGAAGAACACATAGAAAGAGTAGAAGAGGGCTTCATGGCCATGGATGTCTGGGTTTTTAACCTTGAAGTCGTCTACTACATCAGGAAGCATTGACCTGAGAGTGCAGAAAACAACGTTTAGACAGCTCAAGACACAGAGGACAATAATCCACTTCTGCACCCAGATCCTGGGATGAGATCTGCAGATGAACTCACCAAGGCAGCAGGAAAGCTGCAGCTACGCTCACACCTGCCGCCACTGAGACAAGGTAGGAGATGATCAGATTGCTCTTGATGCAAACGATTACGATCATGAAGGGTATAGCCCACTGTAATAAGAGATAGAAGAATGTTAGCAATATATTGACAGTACATCTTCCATGAATAAAGGCCTCTGATGTATCAAATTTAAAAAATATATATATTTACCGAGATGCCCCAGTAACTTGCCATCTTCTTACCAAACCGGGTCAAAAACCACTGCCACCACGGGATGGTTAGAGCCCCTGATAGCTGTAAAAAAATAAATTGAAAAAAGAGTCAAAGAATTATTATTATTAGTATTGCTTTTTTTAAATTGATGATTGATTTCTTCATCACTCTCTTCATTGTCACAGTTTAGAGCACCCTTAATCCAAATTTGATCACCTTAAAAAGTTTGTTAAAGGTGATCTAATCCACTGTTGTCCTGAGAAACCCACACAGAAAAAAGATGGAAAAGCTGATCTTGGATAGCAAAAAAAAATACCCATTGTGATCTAGATTACATTTTCAGAAAAACGTATCTGATATTTCAAAATGAAAAATATCTGAAATCAATCAATATTTTAACCAATCATCATTATAATGGTGGAAAATGTGGGATCAGGAAATGATAAAGTGATCTCAAGAGGAGGAGGTCAGAGGACACTTGCACAATATGCTTTGTGTGGTCTTGACTTAACTCAGCAAGGGGGGGCAGGTGACCTTCAACCTCAAGGCCAAACTTGGTCAACTGGTGTAAAATGACCACACAAGAACAATCATTAACTTCATATCCAAACATGGGAAAATAAAGTAGATTTTTTTTCCCCCCTTTCTCCGCCTCGTCTCCCACCTCTTCAAATATGATCAAATGTTTCCACTCCTAATCAGTGGGAGGCATTGGAGCAGAGAGGAGGATGAAACAGAGGGTGCAACCAATGGTGGCAGTTCCCATGGTGGCAGTGAAAGATCGCCAGGGCAACAAAAGCTCCACTGTGTGCCTGTCTGTTCCTTGATCCCCTGCTAACCCGACTGAGTGTGTGACATGGAGGCAGGTTCCCAGGAGCCCACACAACATCTCCCCTCACGCTGAAAATCTGCCCTTTCAGCCCCTGGACCATGTGTTCCTTCACGTGAGGAAAGACATCGGAGCACGGACAGAAAACATCACAAACTCAGGGAGTTTACACCGTGACACATGGATGTGTCACAACAGGGCTCCTGCTGTCTTCTCAATCTCATACTGACACCAGGGCTAAATAATCATTCAGCAGGACATAGAAACACTCACCATGATGACCAGGAGAATATTCTGGTAGTGACTCCGATGGCCGAGAGCATAGGTGATGAAAAGGGCAAAGTTTCCCTCCAGCAGCTGTAGAAGACAAATGTCCAAGAGTCATTTTTATGCAACCTCCAGCTAAAATGAAAGGTTTGTCATTTTGGGAAATAGATTTTATTTTATCTGGCAACATAATACAGCATTTCATATTCGTCATTTTATCTTTTTATATGTATTTATTAGAGTAAAATCTACACCCATGCAACCCTTAACACACCTGTTAGTTTTGACATTGACACATTTATTTTATTTTGATGGTACTACTCGCCATTCTGTGGGAAACACTGGTTTCCTTCATTTTTCTTACATGCTTTAAGCTTTGTTGAATACATAAAAGATGTGCTTGAACAATAGGTAACTTCAACCTTTGCAGAGAGCTAGGCTAGCTGTTTCCCTCTATTTCTTGTCTTTATGCTAAGCTAACTGACCCTAGGCTGTTACTTTGTGACAAAAAAAAGGTAAAACGTCTTTTCTTTTAACTCTGTTAAAAAAAAAATAACAATGGTAAGTTATTTTTCCAAATAGTACAGTATCACTTTAGTCATGGCCTTATCATATCAATAGAAATGAGACGTGTATCTAATAAGGGGAAGGTAATGAAACACAGCATTACCATGAAGGCCAGAGAGGTGAAGAGGAAGCCGATGACCAGTTTGATGTACGGGCCGTAGCTAATCACCATCCATAGGCCCTGACTGAAGCTGAGGGGCTCAGTTTTTTTCCTCCTGCTTTCTATAATCCAACACAGAGGAGAAGAGAACAAATATGAGACAGCTGGAAATCTGTCATGAATATCATGCAATGTCATTATAAGAAAGAATAAAGTTTCATCTCCTTAGTCTGTGTACCTTTAAGATTAATTTAGCATCTGTAACCTCCACGTTTTGAAATATTTTTATGGAAAGGCCAAATTATTCCCAAGGACTGTTAAAAATTGATACAGACTTTAAATCAGAGGTAAATTGAATTAAGTCTCCGTCTTAAACTGTGACTTCGACTGACTGAAGCTCTCTTAAACTTTTATTCTCAAGCCTTCCATAAGTTATCTATATTTTTTTAAATACAACAAAATAAACAACAATGATCTCCATGATTTGTTTACTAACAAATAACAGGATCTGAGATACCATCTGTGTGTGTGTGTGTGTGTGTGTGTGTGTGTGTGTGTGTGTGTGTGTGTGTGTGTGTGTGTGTGTGTGTGTGTGTGTGTGTGTGTGTGTCTCTCAAAGTGAAGGAGCCTAGTTAATCTTCAGTAATTGGATTAGATTTTGGCTTTCTGATTAGATGAAATGGGTTTAATCAAATCAAATGATTCTGAAATCAGATCACATCATTTAACCAAGCTTAGTTTTTACTTCAATTAAACCCTCCAGAATATGTTGTTCAAAACTTTTGGGTTGCTTTAGAAACATTTTGACCCAAAAAAGATTGGATTATTCTGACCTCAGAAATGAATTTAGGGATTATTTCAGCCACAAAATGTGATACAACTTTAAATTGTTAAAAAATAAAACATTAACACATCAGATACTGCATACATTCTTAAATGTTGTTAAACCATTCCAGCGACACAGCAGATGAATAATTATATGAGTACCAGGTTGATAATGTAAAAGACATAAAGGTTTACTTTGCCATTACATAGCTGTCAATAATAAAACACAAACATTTAATTCTGACCTTCATTTTATCACTATTAGGTTGAAAAAGTCTTTTTTGACAGTAGCACTGCTTATTGCACTTCAGAGGTCTTCATCAGTCTGTCTGGACCCTCCTGGGCAGACTGGACCTGTGCCCCGACACAGGACCTGTTAAGGTCTGTCACACTATGATCAGTTGGTTCTGTGTTTGGTCCTGTTTTATAACTGTGTGGTCTGGTTGTCATATTAGAATTAAATTAAATAAAAATGTTTGAATGTTTGCAATTCAGTTTTATGTTCATAGATTTTCTGTCACTTTAAATTAAATCCCTTGAAGTGACCCCATTTCAGTTCTAGCTCTCACATAGAAAGTAGTCCACAGTGAATAGTTCCATTTAGAGCACTGCTAATCCAGATTAGGTTATCTTGAAATATGTTTATCTGGATAGGGTCATCCATTGAATGTTGTTCAAAAAATGGGTACAAAATTAAGATGGATTAGCTGATCCTGTCTGATTGTCAGGAAAATCTGATTTGCTGCACGAGATTTGAAGACACAAAGACAGAAAGGCTTAAACAAAGTTAAGTCCTGAGTCACTGATTGAATATGTAGAGTCTACAGTCAGAAAGTACTGTAAATTATATGTCTCAGCCTCACAGCTCTGCTTCTAATATTATAAAATGTCCACCTTCACATGGATGAATGAAGACCTCTTATTGTTTCATGGATTCATACCTTTCTGCTCTTTCACACCGAAAAACATAACCGCTGCACAAAGGACGTAGATGATGCAGATGACCCCTGAAGCTATCAGGTAAGATTGTTTCTGAGGACAAAAAAAAGACAGAATTGGCTTTGAGTCACACAGATAAATAAACGCTACTTTTAGTCCATAGATAAAAATATCATCATTCAGATTCAGACAACTCTTTTTTTATGGACTCACTGTCTCATCCAGTGTTGCTTTTGATAAGTAGATATCTGTGAAGTTATTGCTGCCTGAAGTATCAGGCTCATTGGGACAATTTGAGGAGCCTCCAACTATCTGGCCCTGGATTGCGGTGCCCAGAACTGTGCCGAGCACCTCCACCATCATACCTGACAGAAACACAGAAATGTAATGTTAGTGCACAGACCACAACCCAGCAGGTGAAAACATTTGATCAAAATGCAAACGTAACGTACGATAAGCAGTGGCAGAGTCCCGCTCTTTCTGGTCTTTGGTGATGAACATGGTGAGGGCTGAATATGGCACATGGAAGCACTGTGAACGTTCACAAAAACACAGTTAGGCCGTTGTTCAAATTGGGTCAAGAAGAAATGAAGTACTGGGAAGTGTCCATGTGTGATACTAACCGTCTGCATTGACTGGAAGAGGCAGTAAAAGACCAGGTACCAGATAACCTTCCCTTGCTCAAAAGGAGGCACATACCAGATCAGGAAGTAAGTCAGCACTGCAAACGGAGTAGAGAAAATGATCCTGGGAAGAAAAATAAGGTTGGAGGATTGTTAGTAGGAAGTATAGTGAAGGAACCCTTAAAGAGATAACAAATACTCATGTTTTCAACAAGCAAATTAAATAAAACTATATCTTCTGGTTTCAGTCGCTGTTGTATGGTCTCTTTAACATTTAGTGATTTTTGCCTTGAAGTTCCAACCCTGCTATTTACCCACTGCTAAAGTTTGTGTGTATTGAATTCTGCCAACTGTTACTGTAGTTTAACCCTTTTTTCTACTCTTTCCCTGCCTCTTTGTGTATAATCCCTCTAATCCTGCCTTGTTAGAGCTTTTTGTGGAGAAAGGGCTCAGTCTGGGCTGAGGGAGGAGACAAGGGTGGACCCAACGGTGTGGCCCCACTGGTGCACCTCACTCTCACTCCACTCAGTCTCAACAGTATTCCCTAAGCTCTGTGTGCCCTCCAGCTGACCCTGGACAAAGAAGCTGGTCAACTTCAGTAACTTTGAAAACAGACAAAAATTCTGGATAAAGCTCCTGATAAGCACGAGGAAACCATTCTGTTTTATGTTTACACAAACTTCTAACTGGTGCAAACACATTTTTGACACTGCCCATGTCTCCCATTTGTATCAAAGCAGTAAACTGAAAGTTTGAGGTGATGATCAGATTGATTGTAATCTTAGTTTACAATTTAAATGTATTCATGTTCTACGTAATTCAAAATATTCTCTGGTTTCAGCTCAATGCTGTTTCTGTGATAGCTAACCAAAGTGGTGAAATGTAGAAATCATTTTAAACAGATATTTTTTTTCCTTTTTTCAGACAAGTACCGGTAATAGATCATAGAGTTAATGAAGCTGTTACCTTAAAGAAGATTCACTTCAAAATGCATGCAGCAGATAGTTGAAGCTTTACAGTTAGAGGCTTCACTCTTATTAGAATACTGTAAATGCAGTTTGCCTATAAGATGAGGTGATGCTGGTTTTGTGTCTAGGTGATGTGAGTCAGGGCCTACGCTACAGTCCCCCTTGCTGACATCATCAACCTGGAGGTATATGTGGTTGGCTGTAGCTGTGAGATGTGATGAGTCTCTAAACGGTCTGCTGACTGGTGGCTGCTGAGCATGAAATGCCACGCTACCACCAACATCATCTTCTCAAACATTGCAGAGTAAACAGCAAAACTTTCAACTTTCTTTTTTTGCTTGTAATCTTAGATAATTAGCTTTCATGCAAACTCTCCCTCAGAGCCATATCAGCAAACACAGAGCGATGTTCCTTTATTAAACGTGACACATCATGTTCACTCACATGCGGTCATGTGAACCCCCCCCCCCCCCCTCGCTCCCGGCCTTCTGTGATACATGTGGGAAATAAGAAAGATGGCCCCTCCTGATCTAAATCTAATGTCTGACTGAATTGGGTTAATGAGAGTTAATTTATCTGGAATTAGAGAAGAGGCTACGATTGTACCGCACGTCATCACAGCTGATTGAACACACAGTTTCGGATTCCTCACATGTCACATTTGTCGTTAAGACACAGGAAATGACCTTCAGAAAAATACAATAAATCCATTTATACGCAAGAAGACTGAATGTGCAGATATGGCATTGTGTTCCCTGGTATTCTGTTACAATTTCTTGATGTAACTGTGAGGAACGGTGAGGACATAAAGACATGGTGTTCATTTCTAACAGCTGGTTGTTTCACTTCAATTGGATAAGATTTGCAAGCCTGAGAGATCATGTACATGTTAGCATTTTTTTAACAATGACCTCTATTATTTCAATGGAGCATGCCTCTTAACCCAAGGTAACCTAGGAACTCAAACACACATGGACACACCCCCATTGGTCTGAGGCTCATGGTGTGTTGTGGGTTGGACCAATCGCAGTAGAAGCCGGTAGACCACCCCTTCCCCTTCAACTCATGCTCACAGCCTGCATTTCTGACTCAAACACCCACGATGCTCAAGATATCATCGTGACTTCACGTGGGAAATAAGCCTGTTAAATATTTAGATCTGTTCGCAGAGCAAATTATATCACAGCCTCAGGCAGCTAAAAAAACACTTCAGTACCAGATACAGATTTACAACAGCCACATTTCACACTTCCCTCCTCAATACACGCACGCACGCACGCACGCACACACGCACACACGCACACACGCACACACGAATGTGAAGGTCATATATCTTATATATATCTATATCTATATATATCTATTGCTGACTCCACGAGATAAACTGTCAGCTCCACATGGCGTTACTATCTTGGTGTGTAAATTTGGTTGCAGAAGTTTTAAGCAGATCATTTGAATTTTTCAACCTGCACCATTTCATGTTGAGCCTTTCATTCTTTTTTATACATTTTACCTTATTTTGACAGGAGGAAAACCCAACCAGAGGTGGACAGCTGGTAACCATTATATCACAAGGTTTACCAAAACAAGTGTTTATACTGTGGACTGTGAGAAGAGATTGGGTTGCTTTGTTAATATAAGTTATATATTTGTTTTTATATTTTTGGATATTGAATCCTTGAGGAAAAAATCTAATCAATTAACAAAAACAGCTTCATGAAAATTCATATATTTTTGCCTTAATGTGACTCAAATACTTAAAATGTAAGTATTTTTTTTCACCAGATTAACTAAAAGCAGACATTTCCATCAGGTTATTTCATGTTTTATTTATTTTACTAATTTTAGAAATCAACAGATAAAAAGTAAATTATTGATACAATAGTGGTGATTTGATTTATGGTGGATATAAAAACACAGAAATTCTGTTATAAAATCTGTATGAGTAAGTGAATATTTTTACAGTTCTATAGTTTTTATTACATGACCGCTTAAAGTGATTCACTATTAGGGTTTGGACGAGCTGTTGGTCCACCTTTCAGCCTTGTTTAATGTGCTGGTGACTTTTGGATTTTTTTTAATCAAATATCGGACTATCATTATCCTTTTCCATGGTTTAAAATACCGATTTTCTGTTGGTGATGATATCTATTGTGATATACAAGCTTGCCAGGATTGTTTTTGTCACCTGCAGAGAAGACAGCAGACTATAGTGGTTAGAGGACCTTATATTTGAAGGTATCGAGATACAAAATCTCTTTAACAGAGGAGTCCTGGCCAAGACAGTGGCATATAAAAAGTTTCACACAAAGAACAAGAAATTAGGAAATAAAATTGATCAAGAAATGAGGGTCATTTGAATTGACAATAAGACATGTGCATGTGTCCTGGTTTGACAGGCTTCAAAGCTAACAAAATGCACCAGTTTAAGTTGACCCTGTTGCTCATACTAAGATGAGGATGTGGAACGATGCATCTACCGGTATTACAACGAAGGTTACAGCTAATGAAAGTTTTAACAGTCAGTAGAGAACATACATATTCTTATGAATTACAATTAATAACTCTCATTTCATTACTTTCAAGATTCATGCTTTCACCCACATAAGGTCACCTCTGGCTCCATAAAACATAATGGGAACAACCATGGCCAATGGGTCAAGTCATGGTAAATATATTCAGTCTTACACACAATCCATGCAGGAAACACAGCAGAGCACCAACAAATGCAAGGCAAAAGAAGAGCTATTCAGCTACAAGCTTATAAGCTTTACCAGCTGTTGCACTAAATGCCAACTCAAGTTACTTCACTAAAAGTTAAAACAGCTGAAAAACTCCAGCATCTGCATCTAGGAAGATGTCTCTATGTTAAGGTTGTGTCAGAGGGATTTCTGTTGCACACATGCATATTCAGACAGATTATGTTCTTCTACTTTTACCACTTGTACTTCCTCAGTAGCCACATCAGCCCTGTTGTCATGGTCACTGCCAAAGCCCAAGTAGCAAGAAAGCCGAACTGGTTTCTGTCAGTAATTTTTTTTGGTTACAATTTCCTTATCATCACGGATTTTCCCTATCTTTGCTTTTTGTTCCTGCACTGAGGTAATGTGCCGCTGAGAGATTCAGACACCTACCACGGCATCATGCGGCCGATGCCGGTCCATCTACTTCTGCTCACTAGGAAACCCACTGTGGGGTCTGTGATAGCGTCCCAGGCTCGGCCCACAAACAAGATGATGGAGGCATTGGAGGGATCCAGCTGAAGGGAGAAAAAGTGGAAAAAGAGTGAGGCGTGAAACTGAAACAAAGAGGACGCCAAACACTACCTCATATTGCAGTGCTAGTGAATGATTCAAAAAAAAGGCATGACACCAATGAGGTTATAGAGACATTTTTGAGAACTCAACAGCAGTGAAATGCACAACTGTCTCATTTGTTTAAGAACAACATGCCATTCAGAGCCAATCTGATGATCTAATTTCTTGAGCTGTAAGGCATTTTCTGAAATTCCCACTGCGTACAGTGGAAGAGTCTGATTTTTTAATTGAGTAACAAAGCAAAACAGCAGGGGTTCAAGTTAATGCGCTTGACCGACTACAGCTGGATGGAGAGTATTAAAGTGATCCGAGGCTGAGGAAAGCAAACACAAAGTCTGGCCTTTGCGCTAATCCGTTTTTTAAACTATGTAGGATTAGGGAAATTAGTGAGTATTTTACAGAATTAACAAATGGGTGGAATGAATAGAAGGATATTTCCTTTATTCAGCAATGTAAAACTAAGTTTTCTGAATAAGTCAATGATACCAGTATGATTTGATACTTAAAATTGTGTTGACCAATTTAAGTCACCTGAGCAACATCTAGCAGGTAGATCTGGAGGAAGAAGCCCAGAGCACTGCCTGTGATCTGGTAGGGAGCCCCGCCAATGGCATAGCACAGCTTGTTCCACACAGACAGACGATTTCTCAGGTCCTGTGGCTGGGAGACAAGAAGAGGGGATGACAGAGGAGACATTTAAAGTGAGTCAGTGAGTTTGTGCTTATTACAATAGACACTTTAATGCTCATAATCCAGCAGGAACTGTGATTAAATGTTACATGATGCAGGCAGTGGTGAGCTACATGATCATAATGCACACTGCTCTCTTCTGTAGACTGTTCAATCCTATTTTCCGCTTTAACCCTCATCTGTGGAAAAACTCCTGGCAACAACTTTACTGTATTCAACAACCTGCTACCGCAAAGACCTGAGATTGGCTAACGTCCCTCACCCCACAGCTCAGAATGTCAGATTAGAGGCAAATCCACAGCGATGATGTGGTGTGTAAAACTAGGAGGTTATAATAGGTCACACATCGCAAATGCTCCAGCGCTGCTATTGGCTCTAGAAATAGGATGTTGGTGGTAGCGTGGCATTTCATGCTCAGCAGCCACCAGTCAGCAGACCGTTTAGAGACTCATCACATCTCACAGCTACAGCCAACCACATATACCTCCAGGTTGATGATGTCAGCAAGGGGGACTGTAGCGTAGGCCCTGACTCACATCACCTAGACACAAAACCAGCATCACCTCATCTTAATAGGCAAACTGCATTTGCCCCTACAAGCTTAGATTATTCGTCCTTTAACCATTCTGACGATGAGATGAAATGTCCTGTGATCTGCCATGGATGTAAGCTTGATAACAGAGCAGCCTTGATATGTGTGGAAGATATTATATGCAGGCTCTATAGAGGCAAATCTGTCACACATAAAAAGCCAACACTTTAAGGTAATTATTTGAAGACCAATTTGAGCCACTGAATGCCTCAACACAAGCTAAAGGCATTTGCTTAAGCACTACAAGCTGTTAGTTGAAATGCATTTTAACATTAACAATGCCATAGTTAAATATAAATGCAATGTAGACACTGAAACCAAAGATGATTCATGCTTCATGCTTCATGCTTCATGCAGCGCTGGAGCAGTAGTCTAACACCACGTCACGCCTCTGCTTTACATCTGTCATTACCGAGGCTGCTTTTATTTGACAGGACTGTACAGTTTAAACAAAATGTCTTGGAGTTTCAGGCCTTATCACGAGGCGGTCCCTTTAAAACCGGTATGTCTGCCTCACTAGCAGCTGCTCGAGGACAGATGGACAAGTGAAATTTAAATATCAAGTCAGGGGTGGGGGGCGTTTGAAATGTGTAGAGGAAGTAACGAACAATTAAGGCGCCTTTTACGCCCCGCTATCAGCAAACAGGGGGAACACAGAAACGCACTTAATTAATCAAAACACTTCATCCCCTCTCAAAAAATAATTAAAAAAATATATACAGCCACTCACCTTTGCCGTCTTGACTTCTGTATTTATAGGTTTGACTAGTAAAGTGGCTGCGTACTGCTCGGCGCCCTCTCCTCGTGCCATTGTGCTTTTCAAGGTGATTTGGAAATTATTTTCTTTTTTGTTGTTATCGCAATATTTGCGTCCGAAAGAAAGAAAACCCGCCTCACAGCATTTCAAAACGACCCTCTCTCTCTCTCTCACACACACAACGCGCTGACCGTAAGGCTCCTATGCTCTTTCCTCTCGAGCGGCTCATTCATTGGAAACCTCACACGTCACACTATGACGTACACACATGGCATGTTCTTTTGCTCCAGTCCTGCGGCTTCAGTTCAGGTAGCAGAGGAAATCATGTGTCCTTAACTAACACTGTAGGCTACGTATTGACCATAGACTGTAGCTAAAAATAATAGTTTTAGTCTGTATTGACCTTGGTATAGCAACAAAGTGTGAATATCAGTGTACATATCACGTTAAGGGTATGAATTGCAGACTATCAAATAGTGATAAAATTGCTTACGTTTACACGATAGGCTATCAAGGGGTCCTGCTTTTTCACAGTAGGCTATACAACTAAAAATAGCCTTTTTCCAAAATAAAACATCAGCCATCAGTTAAAGAAAAATTCTTACATCCTCGGGAAAAAAAAGCAGTAATGACAACAACCAGACCGTTCTGCTTTTCTATTTCTGTACATGTTGCATAGTCTATGGGAGGCTACAGAGGACGGGAAAACATTAGCCTAGTTATAAAAATATCTGAATTGTGTTAGGCTATATCATTTGGGAGTGGCTCATATTCCAAATAACAATACAACAACAGAAAAGAGGGGGGGGAAAAGACAGTAGCCTACAATTAGCCCTCCAACAGTAACAGTAACAGGCTATAAATGGCTATAATGTTTTTGTATAAGGATGTTATGAGAGGTGGTAAGCCTAATTTTGCAATTCAAGAGCACAAGTGTTTTTTTTTCTTGTAATTTAAGGGAGTTACTTTTGTTCTTGCCTCCCTGTTTAAGTTAACACATGACACTTGTTTAGTAAGACTTTGAGCCAAAGTTGCCTTCAGTGTTTGCTGGCCTTTCACACAACACACCGACAATGTTCAAATATTTCCAAACAAGAAAAAAAATCTATGACTATGAAAGAGAGTGAAAGTAGGCCACCTATGCCACAAAATTAGCTTTTTAATTTATAACAGGTTGAGAACTTACTCAGGGAGCTCTCTGCGTCTTTGGTGTCCTTATTTGCCATTAAATCAATGCAGGGTGAACTCCAAACAGCTTACCTTGGTGTCTAAGCTTGTTGAAGGTTCTGTGTGTAATGGGGGAATAGAAGTCATCATCGAAAGTGTACGGAACAGAAGATGACAAAGTCCTCTTCTGAAAAAATTCAGTCAGAGTTGACCTTTATATCCTCTGACATCTGCTATGAGAACACATTTCATTTGAAGGCTTTCACTTTCACTTTGACATCTGCATTCCTTGACAATTTGTAACCTGTATTATTTCTACATTATAATTAGTGGAAATACCTGTAAGAGCTTGTTTTTCCTGTTCAATTATCAGTAGTCAATGCAAGTAAGTGAATTGGGAATCCAATCTGTGAGTGGCACAATTCTTTTACACTCCCTTGAAGAAAGTGGCCTATTAAATTTGATGTCTATTTTTTACTTCTGTCATTCAATAGCCCTGCTGAACTGGTACATTGCACAAACTTGATGCTGCAACAACCTTTTCTTTAAAACCTGGTAAAAAATCAGGAGGTTTGACTACGTCAGTGTATTTGTGAGTGTTAATGAATCAGAAAGTGATTCAAAACAAGATGATGAAAAGCTCCCAAAATATTCTACCAAGTAGTGATCTCCAAAGTCAAGGTTGAGCCCCCCCTGGTGGTCCTTAAAGATACAGCAGTTTCTATTTATCATCGTTAAAGTGCAAATTGCATTTATTGTTTAGCACAGCATTGCCCTGGGCCTGCTTCACATACTGTTATTTTCTTCATACAATAAAAACATATTGGTAAAAAATTTGCCCCAAGTTTTGATCAGAGTTATATAGAGCGATATTTTTAGATTTTAAACATTGGACACCGAGACTGTGTGTCTGGCTATTTTTTATTACACTTAATAATATAATTATGTTTCTCTCCTCATTTTATGAAGACCCAGCTACAGAGAAACAAAGCCCCCTTCTTGACTGGTTGGTTGTAAAGAGAACTATAAAATGGTTTTATGAGAGCTTACATTAACAGAAAAAATCCTAATCCTGCAGGTTTGTTTTCAACAATGGTTGAATCATTTGGCAGATACTTTAACTTTAACTCAAATTTGGATGGAAATTAGCTTTCGTTCTGACTGAACCCCAGTCTGCTCCAAGTCACAGCAGTCTGCTCTTTGTTTTTCCAGTAACAGTCACATTTCTCATCAGTATTCACTTTTTCCAAAAAAACTTCTTTTTTTTTTGGTGGCAAAATGAGGCTCGGCACAAAAGTTCAGCTCAGCTGGACCCAAACCCAACTGTCATTGGGCGAGCAGCGAGGTACAACCTGGACAGATCTGCAGTCAAGATCAACAGTGTTTTCTTTTACAACTGATTCTGCCAAGCCTGTTCCCTTGGCTGTGTTTTCTGTTGGCTGACAGAGATAAAAAAAACATGCATACTCATACTCACAACCATGGGAAAGTCAACAATTCACTTAAACAGAATGTCCTTGGATCATAGGAGGAAGCCAGAGTTATTGGAGAGAACCCATGCACAAGGAGAACATTTAAACTCCACACAGAAAGGCCCCTGTTTGGGATTTGAAACCTGGAACCTATAGTGGCTGGTTACAACCTACCAGCTAACAGCTGCAGCCCAGAATCCAAAATGCACACATGAAAATCACAACATCTGATACAAATTAAAGGATCATCTTTACCCAAAACTACACCAGTAGTCACTCTTTGTCACTCATTACACTAACGGTACCATCACTCCCCTCAGCCTCTCCCCCCATACTAGCTTCGTATCACTGGCAGCTGACCTTTGACCCCAAAACCCCTACTACAGCCCCTTACCCAACAACATAAACATTACACAAACCCTCACCTTTCACACCCCAACATTAATACTCACATCAACATCTCACATTTATAGATGAAAGCTCTCTCTCTCTCTCTCACACACACACACACACACACACACACACACACACACACACACACACACACACACACACACGCACCTTACTCTCTTTTCCCTCTCAAGCCCACCATACAAAAAGTACCATCTCCCCTCTCTCTCTTCTTTTCCTTGCTTGTACCTTTATTATCTTTTTTCCCCTTGATTATTATTTCGTAATGTTTTGCAATGTCTGTGTTTGTTGAAGTCTAGTTGATGTCTCAGTATAATGCTGTATTTTTCGTCTTAATCTATCAATGAATCTTCATTTGATTAGTGCCTGTTCTTAACAAATGTTATCTCAAGACACTTTACAAAAGAGCAGGTAAAAGACCTTACTCATTACTATATTACAAAGACCAAACATAAATCCATCATGTGCACTAAGCAACAGAGCAGCGACAACAACGACAACAATAATGAATAAGATAGATGTATCGGTGCAATGTCAGTAATAATGGTACAAGTAAAGACTAAGTATGTTAACTGTCCTCCCATTGTGTTCTGTATGCATTGTTTTGTATCGTCTAGCTGCTAGCACGTGTTAATGGACATAAAGTAAAGATTTGTTTCCACGTTGACATGTTAGTTGACCTGAGAGGGCCTCAGAGCCTCTCCCAAATGTGTGTACATTATATTAGTTTTATTATTACAACCACTAAATCATCACAACAGTTATTTTATGACATTTAAAAAAAAGGATCATGTCTTGAACACACTCTTTATAACGATGTAAAATGATTTGGGTGTTTGAAGGCAAAGATCATCTAGAGCTGGAGAACCTGAAGAAGTTCCAATCTCCCTTGAGTTGCTTTTTGTATTTCTCTGTGTCGATGTAAAAAGCACATCAATTCTTCCAAGTGCAGATATTATTTTTCTACTCAATACGAAACTGAAACACTAGACAGCAATGACAAGTTTTTCCACATTAGTTATTTCTTTGCCATTTTGGCATGGAGTGATTCGTTCCAAGTCCACAAAATGAAACTAAAGTCATTCTGCTGATGCAAAAGAAACATTTAAAGCTACAATATACACTTCTGTAGAATAGCTAGATTAAACAGTGAAAATTATCCTGTTCCTCTCATGTAAAGGAACCATAGACTGTATACTTATATACAGTCTATGGTTCCTTTACATTTGGCCAGATGTTTTCATCTGAATTGCAGCAACTGTGCTATCTGTAATAGATCTTTCTGCACCCTAAACCATCCATGGTAATATGTCCAGAAATGGAGCATTTATTGAATCCAAGACCGAAATCTTATGCTGTGACTGTTGGGCATAAACCTTCCACTTCTGTTTTTCACTTCTTCTGTGTTTGCTTTATGCAGAGTCAAAATAATTCAATTTACAGGAACCTGCATTGAACTTGCATTTAACAACCTACTAACAACCAGCAGTATCAGCATGTGGAAATCGGGTTACATTTATGGTTATGAATGTTGTTTTATTTCTAGACTCATAGCAAAGCTCTTTAATGAAGACATCTAACAGTTGAGTATATGAGGCAGCCTGCATGGTCCTGCAGCACATTTTCTCTAATTGAAGTGCATCACAGGGGTTTGTTAAACATCTACCAATGCAACAGAGCACACTGTCAGTCTTTCGTAAATGGTAAATGGACTTGAGCTTATATAGTGCTTTTCTAGTCTTTCTGACTACTCAAAGCGCTTTTACACTGCACTGCGCTGTCACACCTACCCACTCACACACTGATGGCAGAGGCTGCTATGTAGTGATACCATCAGAAGTAACTTATCTCATTCTCACACATAAATACACTGCTGATGAAGCAGTGGGAGAAATTTGGTGTTAGGTGTCTCTCCAAAGGACACATCGGACATGCTGCTGCAGGAGTTGGGGATTGGACCCTCAACCTTCTGGTTCAGGGACGACAACTCTAACGACTGAGCCACAGCTGTCTTTTTCTGAGCATGTGGAAATTCTTAATCTTCAACAAAGTAGTAACTGAGTTTCATTTTTTCTGAGGCAGTCCTGCATGACCCTGCAGCACATTTTCTCTAATGGAAGTGCATCACAGGTTCACAGAGCACACTGTCTGTTCCAACATTTCTTTTGAAACTGGTAAATGGATTAGAGCTTGTTACACCGCATGTCACACCTATCAATTCACACCCATTCACACACTGATGGCAGTAGTTGCTATGTAGTGAGACCATCAGCAGTAACTTATCTCATTCATTTGCATTCATAAGCCACAGACGAAGCAGCGGGAGCAATTCAGGGTGTGTCCCGCCCAAGGACACAACAGACATGTTGCTGCAGCTGGGGATTGAACCCTCAATCAACATAACTGGTTTTCAAGTACAATTAAAATGAGTTCACATGCAGTGCTAACTTTATTCTTTATTTTCACTGGACAGAGGAAAACAAAAATGTAACCTTTTTGAAACCTCACAGTCAGCAGAGATTAAAACGTTGACTATGGCGCCATCTACTGGACAGCAATGTAACATTACAAAGTAAAAGAAGATAAAAATGTGTTTCTGTCTCATTGCTAAGGCCACATTTGTTCATCTGCATCCTTACTATATTTGAACAAGATGAGTGGCAGTTAATGTTGAGTCCTGCTACAAACGTCTTTGATGCTGAGACTGAAATAGAACATTTGATTCTGTTTAAAACCGTCTAAAATATTTCATCAACATCGCTGAGTGCTTAAAAGTATACCAAATGTTTAATGAATTACACGTTTTAATTTTATATGCTTCTTGGAACCTTGTCTTTTCATCCATACCTGACTAGCAGGTCTGGATTACCTGGTTTAATAATCATGAATTAGTTAAATAGAATAATCATTTTTAGAGACCTTCTGTATGAGTGCTGCTTTCAAGAAGTCCTGTGCGCATTTATGAAAAACATTTCAAAACCAATGAAACAGATTTAAGTCACAGTATGTGCAGCTTGTCAATCAAGAGAGACTGTGATATAGATATGAGTTTTGCACTGAAAAACTATTGTGACCCGTTTTAAATCAGCCAAACTGAATACCG